CTGTTGCTTTTAGCCTCCAACAAGATAGCGAAGGCCTTGTGGCTCCCAGAGACCTGGCACCCAGATCTTCTGGCTTGGCCTGGTCTGTGTTATGGCCAGAAAAAGCTCTGTTGGCGTTAGGATCACAGAGTTGGCCTTAGAGAACAGCCTTTGGACAGCCGCTGACCTCTCAGGGTATGTAGGAGAGAGACGGTGAAGCTGACTGAGGAGAGCATAGGGTGGTGGACCAGTCCACCAGTGCCTGTCCCATACATCTGAAGTGGGAAAGAAGGGAATGTGGGGGGGACGCCTGATAGCACTGATGAGTGCTGGTATCAGGCCTGCTCACGCTCGTCCAAATCCCAGATTAAAGGCCTCCGCCCCCTGAGCTCGCTTTCCCTCCTGCCCCACAATCACTCTAACACTCTTTACAAAGCACCCCCCACACACTTCTCTGTCATTTCCCTCACTCTATCTAACCCAGTAATACTTTTAGAAGCACCCTCGCCCTTTCGTCTTTATATCTCCCTCGTTCCTTCTCACCCTCCCTCGTGTAACAGTGCCCAGTGCTGGATTACTAAAATCTGATGCTGCTGAAGCAAGGGGCTGTGGCAGGCTTCGACCAGAATGGTGAGGTAGGTTAGAAGCAATCCCATTCATCTTGAGTACATTTTTTTGGTCTTGGACAACCCTCAAACCACTTTCAACTCCTCTCTCCACAAATTTTTGATTATTTGTTGATTTGATTAATTAAATACACAGACTCCGGTGCTGTAGGAGAACAAGTGAACTTGACAAACTATGTAGGGACGAGGATGTGCAGAAGTGGTTTTTTTCAGGAAAATTGGTCACGAATAAGCTGAGAGTTCAATCTAGTTATAAAGAATCTAGTCGAGTTGCATGCCAAGACACTCTGGAGAAGGTATCTCCCAGCCCTCAGTTAATCTGACAAATTGCATTGTGGAGAAGTTGCTTCTATTTTGTGTTTAATGCAGCAGTCCGGTGTTTGTGTCTGGTTCCAGCTCCATTGTTTTGATTATTTTACAAGCGACAGCAGCACTGTGATGAGGGATTACATATGGATTAGTGACATAAGGCATTTTGCCCCACTGTTATTATTTTTCTGTATGAATCTGTGTAGGATTAAACACAATACCACGAGTAATCTGTCCAACAGATGACACCCATGACCTGTTAATGGCTCCCCAGTACTGTAACCTAAATACTTTAACCAGGTTGGGTTTTATTGTACATAGACAGTTGTGACAAGTGGAAAAATAATGTCAAATAAAAAATGGAAATTCCAAATTGATAACAATAACTATCAAAGTAGTTCTTCCTATTGCTTTGAGTATCACAAACAGTCAAGTAGCATGAAGTGGTTTGCATAGTCTGGTTAGATTGAATAATAGCATGTCACAGATTGATACGGACTAACCTGCCAGTTGGTAGGTAACAAATCACAGAAACAGTGATGCCGGAAGCTAAGAAGACATTTTCAAGTTAATCAGACTGATTCGGTTCTTGCCCTCATAATAAAACCTTATGAGTGAACTTAATAAACACAGTGTGACAGTAAAATGTATGACAAAAATGTCATATGTCAACGTTGAGTTGATACAATTCTGTTAGTCGCTGTTCTCTTCTCAATGAGCACCATATCAGAAGTGTATTTTTATAAAGAAGGTACTGTGCCAGGGGGACACATGCATGTAGTTTCTCAGAGGAATTTACTTTGAGTGTTGAAGATACATTTATCACTCTCTCAGTGCCTTAAAATCATTTCCTGTTCACCAAATGGGTCAAGCTAATCACCCAACCTCCCCCTTCGTTTTTCAGATATTCCGCTTATGTCATATGCCCTGTCTAGATCACTCTCTCCTCTTAGATATATTTATGATTAATCCCCCAGTGATCACTTAAAATATATTTTTTGTAAAAAGATCCTCTGTATTTTCTTTAGAGTCAGAGTGAGAGGCTCCGGATTATCTGTGAACCTTCTCCGCCTGGCCTGATAGTATAATTAAGAAATCCGATGCAGGAACACAGCAGGGGATCCCCCGCTAGATTCACTGTGAGTGAGTGCAGGGGTAGATGATGCTTCTAACGTGCGACAGACACAAAATTAAAGGGGAAAAAAACAACAAAAGGAAAACAAATATCTCCTCGTGAAAAAGCGGTGACACCGATGAAGATGTCAAAAGAGTTTGTGACAATGGGAACAGAAAGCGGTGATGTATGTATGTGATGATGTATGAAAATCACGTGATCTACACAGCAGAATTAATATGTCACTTCCTGTCTCTGCCTGCTACACCCAGCTGCACCACTTCTTACCTGAATAATGTGGAGGATTTGATGCTGTTGTGAATGCGTCTGTGCAGAGAACCTTCCGCTGGATTGGGCATGTGTGAAAGGCAAAATGCAGGAAAACTCTGTATCCAATTCTCTGAACTTTAACTGCAGGTTATTTCTGAAAACAGCTTAAGAGATCCTCTGGAGGATTCACCCAGAGTGAGTGGGAGCGTTGATGATATTTCTATCACGTGACAGATAAAAAAAAAAAAAGAATACAAATTTCTCAGGATGAAAAATCCTCTGTGCAAACATTGTCCAGAGATCATGTCTGAAAACGGCTTGTGTTGCGATATGGTCCTGTCCAGGGCCTTTGCACAGCCTGGATTGATATAGACATTTAGAACAAATCTCAATCTATTTGCTATACTTCATATCCTTTCTCACAGGGTAAAACAAACTGATTTTTTTATTTATTTTTTTTAAAGCTGATGTTCACCAGTCTAGTGTTAAACCTTCAATGATTACATATCCTCAATGACAAACAACAGAGATATGTAGTGCCTTGTTTTGGTCTGAACTCCCTCCTTCACAAATCCCATCACACATTTAGCATCATTACTTCAGTTGTTTCTTCCTCCACTATTCTCATATTTCCACTTGGTCACTGTCGAAACAGGTATGGCTGTTTTGTGATTGACAAGCAGTGTCACTTTGATTTGTTTGTCTAATGCAAAATGGTTACAGCTGCTTCATTTCCACAACCCTACATCTGAAGTTTAGATTGAACTCCTAAAAAGCATTTCTGAGCATTTTTCCATTTGTTTATAATAAATGTCACTCGCAGTTCATTTGTTTTGAACCGTTCAAATAATTCTGTCAAACAGAAACTTCAGCGGCTGACTGTAGGAATGTTAGGCCTAAATATTCTCATTATACAGTGATCACAATAATTATTTTTGTAAGAAATTAATAGAAACCCTTTTGTCACATAATGAGCAGAGCCTCAGACCTTTGCACTGGGAAGGCACCACAACAGTATTCTGGTGTATGTTTGAGGCTATGAGGCGACACACGATCTGCTGAGCTGACACATGAGTCTTATTTTTATCTTACTGTCGTGGGTTTGTGTCATACAGTGTGCCAAAACAGAAACAGCTAAACGCTCGCCCACTGTTAAAGCTCTCAGATACAATCTTCTCAGCATGAGCAACATAAAGGGACTCTTTTGTTTCCTGCTGCCTGCACTCCACTGGGATATATTAATCAATAATAGGTCCTCTTTATTGTTTCGGGGGTTGTTGTGAATGGCTATAATCTAGAATGTAAAACGCATGATTTCCATGAGTCATTTTGACTATATGTCAGTGTCGGAAAAATTGTCCATTCTTGTTAAATCATTGACATTAACAATGGCTGCAACTAAAGGTTATTTTGCTATTTGAATAATTTGCTACTGACTTTTTCCTAACGCACCAATCTGCATCTTTCACAATACGCCCAAATATGTGTTATAACTAATCATAACTGATATTGTACAATAGTATGTCAGCGCATTTGTCATGGGAAAGTTCCACTTCTGTTTAAAGGGGCAAAGTATTTGATTTGCTACAGTATGTTGTTTTATTGTAGAATAAACCTCACATCGATCAAGTAGAAGACAATGATTTGCTGGAAACAGATTTGTTAACTCTACTGTCGTCAAGCTTCTTCATAACTGATTGTATGTAGCACGAATACAGTACCAGCTTGTCACCAGCTAAAAGCTTGTGTATATCCAGTGTTTGACTTTAAAATGTCAATGTGATGCTCCTTTATCTGACAAATTAAATATGTACAGTGTAAAATGTTTTATTTACGATACACAGCAAAGCAGAGAGGCTTTGTTAAGGAGAGATTGTTAGGAAGGCTTACACACTGTTAAAAAGTCAAAATTGTCTTCCATCTGACTAGATTTGGATCAATTTGATCAGATTTATACTGATTCAGCTACTGCCAACCTCAATTGTTGCCCCCTGGATTTATGCTGTAATATGGACTTGAATATGTTTGTCCATCAAAGTTTTAAATACCATTGTAATACCAAGAGGCAATTGATAGGAAGACTTTTCATAAATTTTTTTTGGGTCCTGCTCAGTGTTGCGTAGCTGTAATGCTGCTCACCCATTGTGAGTTAATGTTTTGGTAAAATGGCACATGAAGGACAAAGCGACCCATGTACCATTCCAACCTGTTTACCAAAGTGATTACATTGAGCCTTACTCCCACCCACTCCCCGACCCCAAATGCACACTCCCATGTCCCTGAACCATTGCACATTTTTTGTCGCCACTGATAGACAACAGATCATACACTGTATATGTGTAATCTCTACACAGCTGACTAAAAGCCATTCACTGGGACATTTCTGCTCTGCCTACTCACTGTCTCATCAAGACTAATATAGTCCATCGCACATTAAAGAGTTGTTATGCAAAGCTATAGTTTATGTCTTGTGGCTATTTCTGAATAATGAATAATGTATATGCTCTGGTTTGTATAGGTCGCAGTGTCAAACACTCCAGTGAGGGTGCTCAACACAGATAATCAGTCAACCCACCTGAGAAGTGCTTTGGCTAAATATTTGCCTAGAGTGTTTTGCAACAGAGGAAGTAACGTGTAATTATTAGCTTAAGCTTTGCTGTACTATAAACTTTGTGTTCTTCCCTTTCAAACATAGACACGACATGAGGTTTGCACGCATTTACTGATTCATAAAGAAAAACATGTTACTTTATATTTGAACTAAAATAAATGGCTATTCTTTGTCCTAATGCACTAAGATAGTAATGTCAGGCTGCTAAAGTTCTACATAGTTTATGTTGTTATATAATTGTTTTTTGATGTAATGTAACATTTAACACATCAATAAACATGAATCATGTGAGATCATAAAAAGCAGGTAACTGATAGGACCTCTTTAGATAATACATTGAGTTTACTGGATAAATTCAGGGTGAATGATGATATGATGTGTACNTCATAAAAGAAAAGACATAGACACATTCTCTTGAAAACTAAATCTATGGATAGACTTAATATAATGGATCCTGATGTTCCTGACCGTCTGCGCGTTGTAGAAAAATTTATGTACAACTACTACTACCCAAGTGTAAGCAGCCGCTCCATTCCGTCATCATCTCTGCCCCAAAACATGTCATGTTCACGTCCAGCAGCTGACCAGTGAAAGCTAAAATACATAAAAGGAAAAACTGACTGAATTTCCCTCAGATACTTAATTGTGAGACGCTAGATTGGTAAATTTAACAAATATGTAATATGCTGTTTTAAACTCAGGTGATCTATTGTGTTGGTGCCTGTTTGGACATGGACACTGGTGTGTGATGTTGCACAGAGAGCATACATTACATTCTTCAAGCATTCATACATTGTTATTTTGGGTACGTAACAGACAACTCCCCTCATTTTCAGGTGGTTCCACCCCAACATCACTGGAATTGAGGCAGAGCAGCTCCTGTTGACCCGGGGAGTCCACGGCAGTTTCTTGGCCCGGCCCAGCAAGAGCAATCCAGGGGATTTTACCCTCTCTGTCAGGTAAGTCAGACAGCATTCCAGACATTGACATTTCAGACACTTTGTTAGTGATCCAGTCCACTGTGGTTCAACTAAGTTGAACTGTCTAAATATGAATGTCTGCATATGATTACTCACAAACAAAGCTCAATAGTGCAATGTCAAACACTCAGGACATATAATAATTCTGTTACCTGTGATTTAATCAGTTTTCACCCTGAGAATGAGAAGTGGTTGTGTGCACCTCTCAGTAACTGGCAAGGTGTCTATGACATTTCTACCCTTGGATCAGTATGTGATGTAACATTTTTTCTGTGGATGAATATATGCAATGTGGTCATCAGGGTGGAGCTGAAGTGAGCCGATCACGTCCAGCTGAGTGCAACTCTGTGTTATTCATATCTAAAACATATTTCTCTTAATCTCGTTAATTGAGAGCCTGGGTGTGTTGCAGAGACTGTGCAATTTCTGGTAAGTGGGTTTTAGAGCAGCATGCAATGGTGATTACAGCGAGCAGGAAACAAACAGAACAAGGGGCAGTTGCAAGAGTGGCTCTTCCTTGGCAACGGAAGCTTTTAAGAGATGCATCGGTCACCCATGTGCCTGGAAGAAAGTCCAAATGCATTTGTTACACTGACTAGCTGGCATGGCGACATTTGTCGGGAATGTGTTTGTGTGTACGAGCATGAGGGAGAAAGAGAGAGGGAATAAAACAGACAGAAAGAGGATAAAGAGGGAGTAGTTAGTATTTAGCTTTTAAATGATGTTGAAGAATGAGGAACATGTTAAGGCTTTGACCTTCACTTTCTGGGGTTTGTGTGTGTGTGTTGATGGAGTCATTCCCATGGTCTTTACAGACTTTAACCTTTGTGTCGTGTTCGGGTCAAATCTGACCGATTTCCATTTCGATCAATCATAAATATTGTGTTTTACATTTTATTGTCTCAAGGGCTTATGATATCCTCCACACTAGGCATTTGAACATTTACAATTGCTGATCACTACTTTCATTGAATTTTGAGTTGTTTAGTCAACTTTGTAACACCTGTGGTGTTCCCGGTCAAAAATGACCGCCATAGGAAATGAATGGGTGACCCTAGATTGTGTTCA